GGGGGGGCTGGCAGGATGAACCGCATATTTTGCTGGACGGATCAAGGCATGTGTGCTGAGCGCTTTGCGCACAGAGCAGCACAGCCTCCAGCCCCACCCTGACTGGTGAGAGGCGAGCCCGCTCATGCTCATGCTTCTTCGGTTGGAAGGCTGTTTGTTCTGGAAGTAAGAACTCGTGGTGGGGTTCCCCAAATGCCAGCCCGTTAAAACACCCTCTTGGGGCCCTCTGGGTAATACGTGCAATTAACCACCACCTCTCCATGGCTTGTGAAGTTGATGAAATGAAGTAGAAACTGCTGAGCCTTCACCTTCCTAAGCCTCAGCTTCTCCAGCTAGAACAGCGGTTCTCAACCTGTGGGTCGTGACCCCTTTGGGGGTCGAATGACCCTTTCACAGGGGTCGCCTGATTCATCACAGTAGCAAAATTACAGTGGTGAAGTAGCAACCAAAATAGTTGTATGGTTGGGGGGTCACCACAACATGAAGAACTGTATTAAAGGGTTGTAGCATTAGGAAGGTTGAGAACCACTGATCTAAAACAAGGGCCAGAGGAGAAGGTCCCTGGGGTAGTGGAGAGGAAAGAGTGTGGGGTTTAGAGCCAGAAATCCAGCTCAGCTCTCATCACTCACTTGTTGTACCTCTTTGGAAACTTCACTTGGTCTATTCGGCTGTTGCCTCCCGAGACGAAACCTGATGGTTCCTGCTTTGCTTAAACTGCAACGTCGCTGTGAGAGTTTAATGAATCGGAAAGTGTGCTTTGTGAACTGTCACGTGTGGGGCAAATGTCGGTGTGCTGTTATTAAATTACCTCAGGTTTCAGCTCTCCCAAGCTACTAAATTTTTAGTTGTGGGCAGAATTTTAAATAACTCCTCTATAGAAATTGTGTTTGGAGAATACGCATTTTCAGTGCTGAGCTGGACAGGAGCAGAGCTGAGGACCAGAAGCAGTGCCAGTGTGGGTATTAGACTGGAACTCTCGGCAGATGACCAGTCTTTAGCTTTGGGCTCTATCAGTCTGTCGTTCCTGGGCTGTGTGACCCTGGCCAGTTATCCCCTGAGCCTCCATCTCCTCATTTACAAACCGGACATGAGGAGAAACCAGTCAAATTGATTCCGCCTCATGGTGACCCCGTGGGTGTCGGAGTGGAACTGTGCTCCACAGGGTTTTCAGTGGTTGATCTTTGGGAAGAGGATCACCAGGCCTTTCTTCCGAGCTACCTCTGGGGAGGGGGTGGGGACTTTCTGAAGCCTCTAACCGTTAGCTGTTTGCACCACCTAGGGCCTCTGGTCCTCGTAGTAGAACTTGCATGGTTGAGCCTGTCGAGCAGAGAGGGCTCACTAATGCTGGCTCTTACGATTCCCTGCCCTTCATTATATGCAAGGCATGTAGAGTATTGTTATATTGTCATATGCCATGTTTATGTTACATTGTTACAATGGCATATGTGACTGCTGAGTATTTCATTTGTCTATTGATTGTTTTACTTATTATACTTAACAATTATCTGTATCGCACTGGATGCCAAAGGAGCCCTGCTGGCTCAGTGATAAAGCATTCGGTGTGTAACAGAAAGCGTGGGGGGCGGGGGCAAACCCACCCGATGCTCTGCTTCCAACAAGGCCTTGGAGACCCCCTGGGGCAGTGCTGGGGGAGACCCCTGGGGCAAATATTTCCAAATATTTGCCTACGTGGACAGGGTCACTTGCTCCAGCCCATCTCTTCCAGATAGATACTGTTACAGTCCCAGCTTGTAGCTGAGGACACCCGAGCGCTGGGGGGTGGAGTTGCCCCAGGCACCATCTCTACCCAGGGGAGGTGCTTGGATTCACACCCTGGTTTGTCTGGCCGCTGAGCCACATTCCTGCCCTTGACGCCCTGTTGTCAAGGCTGGCAGCCTTCTCTCACGGCCTGGCCACTGCCAGGTACACGGGTCCCCACTTCCACAGGCCTCCCGAGCCCTGGATTTCCTGTGTGGTTTGCTTTTCCTGTCTCTCGTCTACTCTCTGCTCTCTTCCCTCCCCTGCTTCTCCCCCAGGTCTCCTCCCTTCTCTCCTTTCTCCTCTTTCATCAAGGGCTCCATGGATAGCACACTTATCTACTGTTCTCTGAAAACAAAGACAGATTCCCCTGCCATCACATCGGTGCCGACTCACACTGACTGTATAGAACAGGCCTCCTGGCCTGCATTCTTTCCAGAATCTGACCACCTCATCTGTTTCCCAGGGAGCTGCTGGGAGTTCCAGCCACTGGCCTTTTACTTAGCAGCTGAGTGCCACCCGGGCTCCTTCATGCTGAGCGGGCATTGTTTCTATAGTAGCAAAACAAATCCTTTGTTGATAAAACAGAAGTCACTACTGCCATTGATTTTATTCCAACTCCTAGGGCCCCCCTAGGACAAGGCATAACTGTCCCTCCCTGCGGGGCTCTGAGACGTAACTCTCTGTGGAGCAGAAAGATCCCTCCTTCTCCCGAGGAGCAGCTGGTGGTTTCAAACTGCCAACCTGTGCTCTGCAGCCTAGTCTGTCACCACTGCCCAGGGGAACAAGCTTGCCTTAGTCTGTGGCTGGAGTTTCGCAGCCTGATGCTGCCCAATTGGTCCAGACTCCTGGCCTCCTCATGGTCCCAGCCTAGAGCTGTGCCCCTCGGGGCTCGGTGACCGTCAGCAAGGAGGTTGCCAGGCCCTTGTTCCTGGGGGGCCATGGGGTAGCTTCCAACTGGCAACCTTTGGGTTATTGGTCAAGCACCAACCATTGCACCACCTGGGACTTCTTCTGATGAACAGAAGTTCTTAGCTTTCCTTTTGGGGGGTTGGTAAATTTTGTGTCGTGGAAAGGTTTCTTAGCGTGTGTTGTTGTGTTTTCCCTGCAGGGCTGGGCATGGCCGAGTGGGAAAGGCCGAGCCGGAGGCTGCCTCGGGCAGCCGAGCCCAAGCTGGCCAACGAGGGGGACCCGCAGCTGCCCACCGGCCGGGAGTTGACCGAGGCCAACCGCTTTGCCTACGCAGCACTCTGTGGCATCTCCCTGTCCCAGCTGTTTCCAGAGCCAGAGCACAGGTGAATGCTTTTGTCTCAGTGTGTGTCTGGGGACAGTGGGGCAGGGGAGTGGGGAAGCCCAGGGTCAAATCATACAGCCTGGCAGCTTGCCAAGCCTCTCCAAGGAGGGCAGGGAACAACACAAAGAGGGGCGAGTCCCTGCCCTTGCCTCTCAGGAAGTCACCATCAGGCAGAGTCCTGGCATCCCCTCGTTTGGTAGCCGCTCGTGTATACCTCCACCAAGCATGGTTTGAGCACCTACTGGGTGCAGGCACTAACAGAAGTACATGGAAGAGATGCGGGGATACAGATAGTTGAGAGAGCGAGATCTGTCTTTATATCTGAAAAAAAGTTTGTGCAAAGACTGGATTAAAAGATAATGGGATTTTCCCAGGAGCTTTCTGAAGCTCCACCATCCTTGGCCGTAGTCAGTGGCAGTCCAGTGGGGTCCGACTCCCAGCGGCCCAACATGTGCAGAACAGAACCGCCCCCCACGCTTTTCCAGAGTGTGAGCTCGAGCGAGCAGATCTCCAGGCCTGGCCTCTGAGGGGCTGTCGAGTGGGATTTAACCGCCAACCTTTCCGCTAGTCGTGGAGCATACTACTTTTGTTTTGAATTAGCAGACACTGTCCCTGCCTTCAAGCAAGACACGGTGTAGTAGGAGGCCAGGACTTTCATTCATGCATTATGCATTTGTTGAGCACCCACGATGGGCTGGGTGTCAGGCAAGGAGGCCCGGCAGAGGAAACAAGGCACGGCTCCCGCCCAAAAGGTGCTGACCGTCCGAGGAGTGCCTACTTGGGGGATTGTCATAGTGAAGGGTGGATTTAGATAGGGCCGGGTAGGCTCGGAACCCAGAGGGTGTTCAACCTTGACCTGTAGGGTTGCTGTGAGTCAGCATTGACTCGATGGCAGCGAGAGCAAGTGTGGGAGCAAGAGAGAGACAGATTTGGTTGTAGTGTTATAGCTTGGTTTAGCAGTGTTATATCTTAATGTCTGCCATTTCTCAGTGTTGTGCGCGTGCGTGTGTGTGTGTGTGTGTGTGTGTGTGTGTGTGTGTGTTCGCATCGTATATTTGGAGATAGGATAGCCGAGTTGCCAAAAGCATGGCTGTGGAGTCAGCCAGACCTAGGGTTAAATCGAGGATCCACCCCTCACTGGTCGTATGACCTCAAACACAGCACTTGTCCCCCTGAGCCTCAGTTCCCTCATCTGTAGAGTGGGTGGAAGATGGAACCATGTATAGCATCCCCACGTTCAGTTCAGTGTCCGGCCCAAGCACTTTTCATGATTAAAGCTCAGGGCATCTGGGAAAACGTTGTGTGAGCGCTGGCATACAGGCTGGATTTGGAAGGTCACTTGGATTTTGACGGTCTTAGACAGAGGGGAAAGTAGAGGCCAAGACGGAGACAAGGCACCTGGACTGCCTTGGCAGATGGGGTGAGTGGGGTTCTGGGCTCTAGGGACTATGTGGGACAGACAGGCACACAGCTGGAGTGGAAACAGTACAGCAGTTTCGTGGAGGACTATGAAGGCCAAGCGAGGAACTTGGCCTTTGTCGATAATTGAGGAGCGATTGGCAGGTTGGAGCTGGCCATGGCTCAATTGGATGTCTATGTTTAAAAGCTTCAGTCCCCAAATGTGTTGAGCTCTTAGTACCAGGGTGCAGCCCAGGGTACAGGAAGCAGGGCTCTGCCCTCAAGGATCCCAGAGAGAAGAGTTTAGAGCAAGAGGAAATGAGTTCGGAGGCTGATGTCCTCATCACAGTGGCAGAGGTGGGGAACAGATGGGACAGACTTTTCTCAGCGAGCGTGGAGTCGACGTGGGGACAGGGGACTGTTGCAGGCGAGGCAGATGGAGGAACTAGCTATGGCTCCAAAGGTTCCGGCAGCAAGGGAAATATAGGAGGAGAGATGCCATCACGGCCCTAATAGGCTGGAACAGGAGATGCAAGACGTTCTTTCATCTGCAGCGTTTTCAAGACCCACTCACTGCCCTGGAGGAAACCTCCTTCATCCCCGAGTCTTAGCTATGGAGCTGGTGGGGGTGGGGTATTTGGTAACCCTTGTCTCTCTCAGTGGACCAAGCACCTAGATGTATTCATCTCCTCAGGGGTCACCTCCAGGAAGTTTGCCCAGCCCCCTCCACCCCAGGTGTTCCTGCGCCTGCATGCCCACCACTCCTGCAGTGTGGGTTCGTGGAGGACGGCCTGCCTTGGCCATCTCCGAGCCCCGGGCCCTGGTGTGGCATAGGCACTGGATTTTAAAAACAAAACAGAACATTGCCATCTGGTCGATTCCGATTCATAGCAGCCCTGAATCGGACTGCTGAGATTGTAAATCTTACAGAAGGAGACCACCACAACTTTCTCACATAGCCTCAACTGTCTCCTGGAGAGGTGGAAGCGCCAACCTGGTGGTTAGCAGCCCAGGGCTTACCTGTGGCCCCAGCAAGGCTCCTGACACTTGGGGAACGTTTGTGAAAAGGAATGGGTGAATGCTGGCTTTGTTAGATGTTCCCAGGGCTTTGGGTTCAAATACTTACGCTTTCTCCTTACCTGTGACCTTGAGCACGTTATTTAACTTCTAAGCATTGGTCTCAGCATCTGTACAATGGGGCTAGTCATAGCCATCCGGCAGCCCGCTGTGAGCTCTCAATATGAGGAACGGGTGAAGCACACAGCCTCACACCTGGCACGTGGCAGCTGCTCGGTGAATCAGTACGTGCTTTCTAACTCACTGACTTGCTCTCCCAGTTGCAGGTTCTCCATCTGTAAAATGGGGATAATCTGGAAGCTGCCCCTATCAGGCAGTATTTGGGGCTGCAAGTAACAGAGCCGTGTACTCAAGGAGATTTAAACCATGTGTTTGCTTTTGATTGCTTAATGAGAAATCCCAAAGTAGATAGCTCCTGGATTGATTTCAGGAAAAAAAAACCACTGCCACTGAGTTGATGCCAGCTCTTAGCAACCCTCTAGGCTAGGCTAGAACTGCCCTGGACGTTTCTGAGACTGTAACTATTTGTGGCGTAGAACGCCTCATCTTTCTCCTGTGGAGCGGCTGGTAAATTCAGACTGCTTAACCTTGCCGTTAGCAACCCAGCTCGTAACCCAGTCGGTCACCAGGCTCCTTGGACTAATTCATTCCTCGGAAATCCACTGGAGCAGCTTTTCTGCACTTCTCTTGGCTTGCACTTCCTGGTCACAGAACGGCTGCTGCAGCGCCAACCATCACGCCCTCAACAGAGAAGGCCCAAGGCACGGAGGAGTGAGGGAGATTGTCTTTCCATCTCACCAGGGCAAACTCTTTCTTGGAATAGCCTGAGAAGGCCTCTCCGTCTCCTCTCATCTTTGGCTGGGTCTGGTCACATGCCCGAGCCTCAGCTGCAAGGAAGGCTGGTTAAAACGAAAGGCATTTGTCATCTCCGACCTCCATCTGGCTCTGAGGACCAGGAGGGATGAGCTGGCCAATTCCTACTGCAGGGAAGCTGCCAGCAGTGCCTGCCGTCATCAGGGAAGATGGCCCTGCAGAGGCTACCATGGAACTGTCACCAAATGACCCTTCCCCTCCCTCAGGGCTAGCAGTGAAACTGCCCCTGTGCTCTGACAGGAGGCTAGAGTGCAGGAGTCTGACTTGCCCTCTGCTCTAGCTCCTGTTGTTTCATCGGGCTGTAGGCCTCCAGCTCCTGGTGTCCCCACACACAATGGATGTCCTGGTCCTGCACCGTCCCCATGCCCCAGTGCTGGTCAGACTGTCGCGATCCGCAGGGTTGACGCTGGATGACTTTCAAATGTAGATTGCCAGGCCTTTGTTCCTAGTCCAGCTTAGTCTGGAACATCTGCTGAAACCTGTTCGGTAACGGCACCCACTTCAATGCCTGCGCTCAAGGTGCGGTGGCCGGGAATCAGGCAAGTGTGTCTCCTGCCAGAGAGGGACTGATTCTACCACTGCACCACCACAATCCACCCCCAACCCCCTCCCTTGGGCCCATGCCCAGGAAACCTCTATCTTCCAGGAAATCTCTTCTGACCTGATAACCCCTCACCTCACCTGCTAAACCGGTCTGCAGAGGAGGAAGAGCCGCGTACCTTGTTCACATAGGCCCTTACTTATTAACCCAGAGGGAATAGTGGGGAGCGGAGGTTTGTGTATGTGTGTGTGTAAGGAGGAGGGTGGGGGGTGGAGGGGACAGTGCTGCTGCCTGAAGCTATTCAGAGCGAGCGTTTCCGCCATCATCGGGTGTTTCCTTCTCGAAAGTTTCCGAGTCAGGGTGCCAACTGTGACCACGGCTTCCTCTCACTTTCTGAAACACAAAGCACACCCTACTGACCGCTCAGCCAAGAAAACCGGCAGACGCTGCCGGCTTCCCTCGTCTGTCGAAAACACTCCCCAGGACATAAAAGCAAACCTCTCACATCTTTCTTTCGGAGGCAGGGCTCCTTCGCAGATGCTGTTTTCCGGGCGGTTAGCTGTTTGCTAAACAGAGAGAAGCTCACCGCGGAGAACAGAAAGCAGCGCGTGTTTTCCGTGAAGCACCACACTGCAGATGCCAGAGACTTGCAGGCTGTACAGCTTCTGTCTCAGTGCTCAACTGCGTTCAGGGTTAACTCGAGCTCCAGCTCACTGCCATCGAGACGATTCGGACTCAGCAACCCCAGAGGACCCAGCAGAACTGCCTGTGTGGGTTTCCGAGGCTGCAAAAAGTCTCCTCTTTCTCCAAGGAGCAGCTGGGGGATTAGAACTCCTTATCTTGCGGTAGCAGCTCAATGCGTAATGCCCTACCCCACCAGGGCCCCTTGTAGCCTACACACAGCTGCAAATAACGCATAACTGAGTGAGTACAGCTGCTGTGTCCCGGTCAGTGGTGCTCAATCTTCCTCATGCCGCCACCCTTTCATACAGTTCCTCAGGTGACCACCCCCCCAACCATACAATTATTTTCGTTGCTACTTCATTACTGTCATTTTGCTACTGTTATGAATCAGGAGACCCCTGTGAAAGGGTCGTTCAACCCCCAAAGGGGTCGAGATCCACAGGTTGAGAACCGCTGCAATAAGACTTTCTCGATCGAGATAGGCTGCAGAGCCTGGATTTGGCCTCCCAGGCTGACCACGAGTCAGGAACCCTGGAGTCGGGGTTAAGCTTGTCCCCTGCCTGCTTTGAGGACTGGCTGTGCTGTTTGTTTTCCCCTCTGTAGGACAGGTGCTCCCTCTGCGATGTGGAGCAATGGCCCCCTGCACAGAACGGAGATGGAGCCGGGTGGAAAGGCATGGCCAGTGACTAGCCTCGCCAGTGTCTGCCATGCAGAGCTGCTGGCGCCGGTGGTCGTGGTGGTGGTGGTGGTGGTGGTGGTGGAGGAGTCGAACTGATTTTCACCTCATGGCAACCCCATGTGTGGGAGCAGAATGGGTTAAAGCCCCTCAGGGATCGTAGGTTCTGCTGAGGCCTTTCTCCCAGGGAGCCACGGGATGGGGTCAAACCTCCCACCTTTCAGTTAACCCCTGCACCACCAGGGCACCAGGGCTCCTTGTCCGGTGGGCGTGCTGGGGAATTCACGGCTGGACAAGGTGGTCTGAGAGGCATAGGCTGGACTCCTGGAACAGTCTCTCTGCCTCTGGGCGTCCATATCTCTAGAATAGGGGTGAGGCTGGCCCCCCGCCCTCCGTGGGCTGCAGCCCACTGACGTGAGCTAGTAGGGTGGGTCGCTCTGGAATTACTCAGTGCTGTGCTGTTGGTTTTCACGTCGTTCTACAAGACCACCAACCACGTACGAAGACGCTGCCATGTAAAATGCTACTCAGTCTTCGCTCAGTGGCCCTCAGGTGTGCATGGACACGTTCAATTGTCCATTGAAGGACTGCAATGGAGAGTACTTCATAGGTGCCTGGCTGCAGCCCCAGTGACGTCATGGGTACACATGGGCCTGCTAAGGTTAACCCTTTGAAACCACCAGCCACTCCGCTCGAGAAAGATGAGGCTTTCTGTTCCTGAAAAGAGCTAGTCCTGAAAACCCGTATGGACAGTTCTACCCCAATCTACAGAATCAACTCAGAATCAACTCAACGGCAGTGAGTCTGAGTTTGTGAGTTATAGGTGCCTAGTGTCCTAAGCACAGTTACTGTTCAGAACATCCCTAGAAAGCAGGCATCTTCTTCTTCACTGCTTTATAGAGAAAGAAGCTGAGAAGCTAAGTAATTGTCAGAGATCACACAGCTGGTGGTGGAGCTGGAATTCAAACCTAAGTCTCTGCTCTTAGCCTCTCTGCTCCTGTTGTGAGAAACTTCTCGACGTCCAAGACTTCCTGCCAGGGCAGAGGGTCAGCCAAGCTGCTGTGCTCAGCCCTGAGTCCTTTCTTGGTTTTGATTTTGTATGGCCATTGTTTGCGTTTTCCCCCAATTTATTATTAATTGGGAGTTATTAAACATATCATCATTCCGTCGTTCAATCACGTCAAGCAGAATAGTACGATTGCGACCACAGTCCATTTCCAAACATTCTTTTTCTTCCTGGGCTCCTTGACCTCAAGCCCTTTCTGCAGATCAATAGACTTGTCAGTAGCGTTCAAGAAGACATGGTGGGTCAGTAGTCAAAGGATTCTGCTGCTAACCAAAAGGCCAGCATTTTTTTTTCAATTTTAATAAATCATTTTATTGGGGGCTCTTACAGCTCTGATAACAATCCATACGTCAGTGGTATCGAGCACATGCGTACATATGTTGCCATCATCATTTCCAAAACATTTTCTTTCTACTTGAGCCCTTGGTATCAGCTCCTCTGTTTTCCCTTCCCTCCCCCACCCTCATAAACACTTGATAATTTATACACTATTTCTATTTTCATGATTTACACTGTCCGCTATCTCCCTTCACCCACGTTTCTGTTGTTCGTCCCCCTGGGAGTTAGTTGTACATTGATCATGGCAATCAGCTCCCCCTCTCTCCCCCTTCTCC